TCTTAAGACAGAAAGTAAGAACTAAAGAGCCTCTTGATGAAAGTGAAAGAGAAGAGTGAAAAAGTTGGTTTAAAACTCAATATGCAGAAAACTAAGATCAAGGCATCCAGTCCCATCACTTCATGGCAAATGGGGAAACAATGGAAACAGACTTTATTTTCTTGGGCTCCAAAATCACTGCAGATGATGATTGCAGCCATGAAATTAAAAGTTGCTTGTTCCTTGGAAGAAAAGTTATGACCAACCTAGACAGCATACTAAAAAGCAGAGACATTACTTTGCCAACAAAGGTCTAGTCAAAGCTATGGTTTTTCCAGTAATCATGTATGGATGTGAGAGTTGGATTATAAAGAAAGCTGAGCACCAAAAAATTGATGCTTTTGAACTGTGATGTTGGAGAAGACTCTTGAGAATCCCTTGGACTGTAAGGAGATCCAACCAGTCCATCCTAATGGAAATCAGTCCTGGGTGTTCATTGGAAGGACTAATGCTGAAGCTCCACTACTTTGGCCACCTGATGCGAAGAACTGACTCTCTAGAAGACTCTGAGCTGAGAAAGATTGAAGGCAGGAGGGGAATGGGACAACAGAGGATGAGATGGTTGGATGGCATCCCTGAACGATGGACATGAATTTGAGTAATCTCCAGGCGTTCGTGATGAACAGGGAAGCCTGGTGTGCTGCAGTGCATGGGGTCACAGAGTCAGAAATGACTGAGTGAGTGAACTAAACTGACAGAGTTAAGATCAAATAAACTACATAGACAAACAGAAAATGAATCTTCTGATGTGTTAACTGTCACAGACATTTCATTTGTCTCCAGCCATCCCTGATCAGAAACACTTGAGTAAGTCCAAGCTTTCTTTCAATCAACTTTAATTAGATCAACTGTAAATAAACCTTCAAATATGGATTTAGAAATAATTTGGGTAACTAGGACAGTTTGAAAATCAATTGTTGTTGTTGTTCAGTCACTCAGCTGTGTCCAACTCTTTGTGACCCCATGAACCGCAGCACTCCAGGTTTCCCTGTCCTTCACTATCTTCCAGAGCTTGCTCAGACTTCTGTCCATTGAGTCAGTGATGCCTGTTGCCCCTTCTCCTCCTGCCTTCAGTCTTTTCCAGCATCAGGGTCTTTTCCAGTGAGTCACCTCTTTGCATCAGGTGGCTGAAGTCAAACAGTGTCAAAATAATGTGGAAAATTTAATGACTAATATTTGTTAAGTAGTGCTCAAAAATGTTAAAATGTTTAAACAAGATGCTTTTTGCCTCTTGCAGTATATCTAACTTTATCTTAAAATCTTCTGGATTTTATATTTGAATATGATGCTAACACTCTATATACATGTTAAGTTCTTTGAGCATGTGCACCATACCACAAATACAATTCCTACCTTATACAACTATACCATTTACATGAGAATAATTGTCAAAGACTGCTCATCATCCAGTGTAGTAGATGTAATTGTGTGTGAAGTTAAAATAAATGTAAGACATTTTCAGAGGGCAGAGTGAATAGGCAGGTAGCATAACCTACACGTTATTATTTCTTGCCTGTGGCTAGTAGTTGTCTAACTGTAACTGCAGTCAGCTTCAGCTGAGCTTCCTATCATAGGAGGAAGTTGACCAGACTCATCTAGGTGACTGCTTGTAGAAAGATCTATTCATTGCCTCTGCAAAGCATCTTGTCTCCTTGTTTCTTTCCTAATTTTGGTCTGCAGCTGACTTTGGAATATTGCTTTAGCATAGTGCACATCAAGAATCATAGTTTAGGCTTGATCTGCAAAATTTCACTTTCTTGAAAAGGTTTAGTTTTTCTGTTCTTTACCCTGACTTAAAATTATGCAACAGTAACAATCTAGAGTAGAGGCCTGGGCTTATTTGAGTTGGAGGGTTACAAGTTAAATCCAGCTAATTTTAAGAAACGAAATTGTCCAAAATATGCATTACTTTGTATAACTTGAGTTTCTAATGGTGCCCTCATAAGGACAAATGGAAAATACGTAAAATTGTTGACTTCCCAACCATTTTATGCATCCCATATGAAGTGGGTCCCCTCCTTTTCTATCTGTAGCTCCAAGGATCTGATACTAGGAAGTCATGACCACATGAATCTGTATTTAGTAGTAGAACAGGGCACATATTGCTCTCATGTCATTATTTGATATTCTATTCATACTGTATTTACAACTAGGAGATTTCCTTTTATAAGTAAGCAGTGAAGTGTTAGTAAACAGTTACCAACTATTAATAGTTCTCAAAAAAAAAAAGACAAGGTAGTGTTTGCTGATTTCTCTGGTGGTCTAACTATTACCACCATGGCTGACCTACCATTATGATTATTACTAGATATTGTTACTAGAAGCAGAATCAGGAAGAAATAGGCATAACTGGTACTTAGGAGTTGTTCTGATCTGGCACCAGTTCACCACTGAATTTTAGTGGTTAGATGATATAATAGGTATTTATTTAGATGCTTTTGGAAAATTCTGTAACTAGTTCTAACACTGATTTTTGTTCATCGACTACTCTCTGGGTTTACAACAGAGCCTCTCTCTCAAGGATGTCAGATAAACATCTATAACCCTAAATTTCAGAAGAAAAAAGAGAACTAAAATAACATTCACCATCATTAAAAGAAGCTTAGCTAGAATACTTCATATAAACTCCATCTCTATTAGGGACATACTTGCAGCCATCTCAAAATTTCTTTTAAACACCACTGAATCAAGTTCAATACTGTATTGTTATCATCTTCCACACACAAAATGGCAATTGAGTATATGCAAGAATTTCAAATTTTTATTTAAATTAAAGCCTTCCCCCCAATCTTTTACTGGCAAATATGAAAATTTTTTTTTTAAAAGAAGAAAATATATATACTTTAAAAGGAGAGAAAGCAAGGTGAATGGTGTGATGTTCCTTTTCTAAAATACATTCAAATTTCCGTTTATGCAACAATCAGCAGCTGTGACATCATAATCCAAATGTACTGTTTTATCTTCGTGCAGACAAGGGGATTATTACACAATCGTATTCTCAGCACTTTGCTGACTTAACACCTATATCACTCCTGCACCACACTCTGATTTTATGAACTTGGGTGAGTGTACTACGCTTTACTTTTGTAATCTGAAAAATGTATGTGATTAAAAGTCATGAACAGTATCCTTTACTCTGTTATAAAATTGGTTTTTCATATGTATATGTGTTTTAATACAGCAAGAAGCATGTCTAGTCATGAAACAATGTCTATAAAACTATTCAAATGAAAGAACTGTTTACAGATAATCATATTTATTGAATTATTTATTTTGATGAAGCTGAAGGCCACTTTCACATACTTCATTTCAAAAGGTGGGCTGCAATTTTACAGATTCCTATGGAGTTTCTCCTCATGTAATCAAAATACTGATACTCTGGTTCCACTGTCTTTCAGAAAGCACTTTTAGAAACACAATTTCCTATACAATGTCCACTATCTGTAGATTTATTAGGAACCCATCAATAAACCCTTTTTAAAAGGAAAAAAGAAAAAAAAAATCATTCTTACTTAACTATATTCACATTAAACTAGTATTAACCTAGAAAATAATGTTAGGTAGAAATACCATTTTAGTCATAAAATTCTTTTTCTCAAACACATGTGATCACTTGAATTTCCTCTGCTCACTTTGGCACATCTAAACTGGTACAGAAAGTATACACTGTTTGGATAATTCTTGAGGAACATATTTGCATCAGAATTGAAAGATGGATTTTGAAATTTATAATATTACATTGCCTAAGATATATTAAAAAAAAAATCTGTCCATATTTTTACAGCAAAAGAGGAGAGGAAAACAAATTCTCAAAAGTCTTTGGAGCTTCTAGAACCTGTGACCTTGAAAAATAAATCTTGCATCAAAGAAAAATCTCAATTCTCTCTGAAATCTTCCTTCTATAATATACTTCCTTCCAATGTTCTCTAAATTCTAATGGCTCAGACAGAGAACTTGTATGTCCTTGTAGCCGTGTTCCTCTCTGAGATGTGAACAGCAACAGGGCTCAATTGCTCAACCTTTATTTTTTTCTTTCTTTCCATTTCTATGCTTCATTTCCTTCATGTAGCTCGGACTGGAAAAAAAATCAACATGTTCTGATGAGCTTAATATTCCGAGGCAGGAAGATGGACCCGAATTGAGTGGAGATTGGAGCTCCAAAATAAATATAACACCATGTGTCAAATAAAAAAGGAAAAGGTAGTCTCCTGTAGAAACCAGAAGAGATAATAAAAAAAAAGGCAACAAATAGACAGCAACTTTTTTTCATACCTACACAAGCATCTCAAAAAGACTGCCAACTTTAAGAATGATTTACCTGTTATTTATTTGGAACACTTCTGGATTTATCTGCTAAACAACGGTTTATGTTGCTTTAAACCAAATTTTATTGGCTAGTATTGGAGGACTGGGGAGGATTTTCTGAGAATTTTTATATTGCAAAATAAAATATATTTGCTAACCCACAGCAATAAAATTCTGCTGGATGCTCTAATCTAGCAAGCCGAAAGCATCACTGTAAATTAAATTTGTCCCAAGTTTTGATATGCAACAAGTTCCAGGGCTTTCCTGGCAGATCGTGTTTTATTTGCCTCACTGCGATGCCATCACTGACAACACGGCACTCCTCACTCAGAAGGCCGGGTGCCTTTGCAGGTATCTGAGAGTTGCTGTCTATTCACAAACCACTGAGCATTTCTTTCTTTCTTTCTTTTTTTAAAATAAAAAAAAGCCTTCAAATGCTCAGAGTCTGTGGTCAGTGCAGTCCCTTGGACAAGTCTAATGAAGATTTGCTTCACCAAGGCAGAAACCTAAACAGTTAAAAATGGAGGAATATTTACAACCATTTCTCTTTAGCAAGCGGAGTTCTTGTGGTTCTGCACGTCATTTGTGTTGCTGTTTTTTTCTCTCTTTTTGCCTTGACTTTTCCTTCAGTACCTTTCAAACGAAGGTCCCCAGGGCTATGAGTACAGGCTCTCCGGGCCGGTCCCGTACATGTCTGCGAGGCGTTTAAAACGCGGCCCCCAGTCACTAAGGTAGTCGTAGTTCTGATCAGAGTTTGAGCTGATGGAATCTAGGGAGCTGAGAGATTCTGCCACCGAGCCATTCCCCTCGAAGGCGTACGTCTGCAAGGAATCATAAGGCGGGGCGCAGGGATCCACGTCCGCTTCTTTCAGCCTCTCCCAAATAAATTCCCGGAAAATGACGTTATCCGGGATGCTTTTAAAAGTCGGTCGACTCAAGAACTGGATCTCCGGGGTCACATCCCTGCGGGTCTTGGTGTCTCTCATGACGTTGAGGTTTCTGAGCGCGGCCATGTCAAAGGCTTCCGTGTCTTCCTCGCCCCCGCCCTCGTCGTCGTAGCGGACGATGTTTTCTCGGATGTCTCTCTCCTCGTCGAAAATCAGGGGCTCTTTTTTCCGTCTTCTCATGGTGACGATCAGGAGGATCAACACTACGACAAGGAGACAGCAAAGCAATAGATTCAGTCAATGCACCGGCTCCCCCCTCCATCCTGGGGAAAGCAGGTCTCTGCTGTTGGTTTCAGGGGTTTCTGTCCTTTAAAGGGAAATGAATGGGCTGCCTGCTTACGCGGGAGCTCACAGCAGTAGATGCGCTCAAATTGCTCCAATGCCTTTAATATCGAACACTTTATACATCAAGAAACCCGTCCCCATACCTGTTCAGAACTGATGTCAGCCTCTTGAATGTAACCTCCGGAGCATTTGACAGTGCAGAAGGGAGGGCCAGCTCGGGATAAATATAATAATTTCAAAGCCATGAAACACAAAGGGACTTTTTTTTTTTTTTGAACTCTTTAATTGCTGAAAAGGCAAAGTGACATTCATGAATGTTTGGGGTCTAATTTAACAACTGCAATTTCCGAGGGAAATGGATTATGGCATTTGGCTGGGTTCTTTGAAGAAATGCCTAGTACTTGTCTATGAAACTCAGCTGTTAAATAAAAGCCAGTATGTCAGACCCTATACAAACATTAAAAGCTTCCCTCTAATAGAGTCCCGCTTTCAGCAGGAAACACTGAACTGGGTTTTTAATGTATTATGCCTACAGGTATTATGCCTACGGGTTGTAAGGTTTTAGCAGTAGCCCAAGATTGACTGAAGAAGTCAATCATTTCTTTAACATTAGGAGTTTTTCTTTTATCAAAACATACATAATAAAGCATATGTTTGCACTGGAAAACAGACACAAACAACTACACTGGCTATACTTTTAAGCAAACTGAATATACTTTTTGTCAGTTAATTTTTATTGGAGTTCAGTTGCTTTACAATGTGGTACTAATTTCTGCTGTGTAGCAAAGTGAATCAGCTATAGGTTTACATATATCTGGTCTTTTTTTTGGATTTCCTTCCTATTTTGGTCAACCCAGAGGATTGAGTAGAGTCCCATGTGCTATCCAGTAGGTTCTTGCCAGTTAATCTATTTTATACATAGTATCAATAGTGTATACACTGGTCCCAATTCATCCTATCCTCCTTTGCCCCCTTGATGTCCATACATTTCTACTCTACATCCATGCCTCTTTCTCCTTTGCAAATAAGATCATCTATCTTGCTTTTATAGAACCGAATATATACTTTTGTGCCTCTTAATAAATACAGTTGGCCTGTATCTGCAGGTTCCACATCCAAGATTCAACCAAACTTGGACTGAAATCTTTTTTTTTTTCCCCCCATCTCAGGAAGTTCCAAAGAGCAAAACTTGAATTTGCTTCACTTAGGCTACAATTTATACAACATTTACATTGAATTTGCAACTACTGACATAACATTTACATTGTATTGGGTGTTATAAGTAGAGATGATCTGAAGTATAGGGGAAGATGTACATGGGTGATATGTAAATACTACGCCATTTGACATAAAGGACTTGAGCATTTTTGACTTTGGGAATCAGTTCCCCACAGATACAGCTGGACAACTGTATACACTAATAAGATGATGACTGCTCTGTTCTGGCTATGAGTTACTGAATGCTGGTTGACTTGGGAACACATTAGATTTCATGGCCTAAGAATTAAAATGAAATAGAAAGGTATTCTTGAATTTTAGAATTCAAACCTATATAATCATTAGTGAAAATCAGCGAGTTATCTTTGGCTACAAATAAGATATCCTTTTAACAATTTTTAATCACAAGAACTTTTTTCCCGGAAGGTCTAGAAGTCTCAAAATATATACTGAGTGGATTACTGTTTGAGGTATATTACTCTCAGCAGTTTAAAAATAAGTTTATATTTAAAATACCCTTTAAGGTTTTTCTTTGGCATTAAGAACACATTTGAGAACAAAAATATAAAACTAAGAAAGACATCAAAGTAATTTGGAGTAATTAAACGTAATGAGTAGGGGTGAAGTATATTCCAGCCTTGACCTCAATTTGTCTTAAAAAACAAAATCTAAAGATGTATTAATTTTAAACAATTTTGTTATCATCAATGAAAAGCATATGCTTTCTTAGGCATGTGTCTGCTATTTATTTTCCATCATCAGTGGGAATATGACTGATAAAAATAATTTTACTGGGGATCTTTGGAAATAGGGGGAAGTCAATTGTTTACTGTGGCCCTTTTTAATTTCTTTTCCTATTTGACCCTGGCCCATTGCTCCCCTACAAGCTTTATCTGCACCTGACAGTTTAGGAACAGAGATAAGTTTCTGAGCTTTCTGCCCACTTTCTTGTGTTGCTATAGCACATAAATGCTTTTCTCTTCATCTTTCATCTTATTTACTCACTTGAATGTTTTCAACTGGCTTCATCAAAGTAACAGATGTGTAATTCCAAAACCCATGGTTTTGAAATGAATGAGACATCATTCATTTCCTGTATATTCCCATAAATACTCTGCTATATGTCTGCCCTCTCTGCTAAGTGGATTCCCAACCCTGTCCTTTTCTGTCTTCTGAAAATTAGCACATCCACCACTCCAAAGCCTTTTAGTTTTCAAGCTCCATGCCAGAATGCTACAGCAAAAACAGGTTTACAAAAGATTGGTATGTTTCTATTGTAACATTCTGGTATGAAACTTGAAAACTAACATATAGCTTTGGTGTCAAGCCGGCCTTAGATAAAAGTCCATTCGTTCCTGATATTCGCTGCGTGATATTTGCCCAGTAGTTACTGCTTGGGCAAGTCACTTAAACGGAACCTAGTCATATGTGATAGTTATAGCCAATTTCTGTGCTCACAGGGGGGACTAAAGAGATCAAAGAGATTTGGGAATCGTGTAGGGAGATGAGCAGCAGGCTAGGCACTTGTGCAACAGAGATGAGTTCATAGTTATCCTGTGACCTACAAGAACATTCATTCAAAATTCTGTGAACACAGCAAGTAAAGATGTATTTCTCCCCTGAGGGAAAACCAAAAACGAAGTTAGGTAATAAGCAAAGTAGAAGGCGGATCAAGTTCATGGCAAGCCCTATGCCTAAAGAAGAAATGGGAGAGAGAAAAAGCAGTAAAGTAAGATGATGGTCTGAATGCAAAATATCAGCTGACCTTCCTGGTAATTCTCTGGACTAAGTCTTTTCCCAGTGGCAGGCTGTCTCAGACACGAAATAATCTCTCTGTGGTCAAGATAATAACCTGGGTTGAGTTGTACTCCCATCTATCTTCAAAGCCTTTGCATTTTCTCTCATGCTGTGAGCTTAGAACTTCCATAGAAGATAATAGACAGGAAAGCTGAGAACTCGGGTTAACAGTTGCTAGAACCCAGAAAGACACATCAGGAAATTTAGATTTATATACTTTAGTTTCTGAAACTTTTTTATATGGTCTGCTAGAAATGAAAGTAATTGCAGCAGAAAGTTTAACCAACAAAGACTTCTCATTAAGAAGTCAAACTGAGTTAAGACACAGAAAGGAAAGGTGAATATCCAAAGAATTGTGATGGGTGGACAGGTGAAAATGGGAAAATGAGAAATACTCCACACAAAGTGAAGAGCAAAACTGGGGCGCTGGGGTGGAGCAAATGTTCAATTGAGCACAGAAGGATGGAAGAAGCGACGGCATAGGAGTAATGAGGGTGTGAAGAAGGGAAGAATTAGATGCAAGAATTAGATGTTATTTTCATTTAAGCCTATCTTAGAAGACAAAACATTTCAAAATTCTCAATTCTCTTTCCTTCATGTAAGTACAATGAATATTGTCATATATTATCTACATCTCACAATTATTTATTATGCTCTATTGTAAATGTATTTTCAAACTACCAACATCCCTGCCTTCTGACCCTCAGTTGCAGTGTTTAGGAAAGGTGAAATCTAAGAACCCATGGGTGCGCCAGCCCATGGGGACGATACCCATTTAGGATATTAATATCTCATGAAGTTTGTTTTATTCCCTAATCTTGCCTGGGGCTGAGAATAAATGTGAAGTCTTTTAGAAGGTTAGACAGTTTAACATTTCAATGACTTGGAAGAATATTAATTTCTAACTACTTGAGCATGTATAAAAAATAAATTTTAACCTTTATGGAGAACAAGTATTAACTGCTCTTCAGTGGTTATGGAGATAATCCCTGTATTAAAAGGAATATTTTCTGCCTAAGTAAGCACAAGATTATATATTTTAAAACGTTTTATCACATGTCTTTCTGTCATATGGACTACACCTCTGAGTGGAGACAAAAGAAAATATTTAGGCCTAGTTGGAACCTAGACATGCACATGTATTGTACTTGTTTGTGAATTTATATATCCACCTCACAAATATGAGTTAACCATTTAGTACATGACTTTGGTATAGTTATACAATGTTGCACATACAGGTAGACATGCATTTCCTCATGGAACTCAGAATTAAAGTGAAGTCGCTCAGTCCTGTCCGACTCTTTGCGACCACATGGACTGCATCCCACCATGCTCCTCCATCCATGGGATTCTCCAGGCAAGAATCCTGGAGTGGGTTGCCATTTCCTTCTCCAGGGGATCTTCCCAACCCAGGGATAGAACCCCGGTCTCCTGCATTGTAGGCAGACACTTTACCATCTGTACCACCAGGGAAGTCCTTAAAATTAAATGGGGTGGACAAATATTCATCAAATAATAAAGACAACTGTATGTAAAAGAAAGACAGTGATAATTATTCCAAAAGAGGAAAATATGATCTCTTTCAAGGATATATCAGAGCTTCCTGGTGGCTCAGTTGGGAGGGAATCTGCCTGGTAATTCAGGAGACCCAGGTTCGATTCCCACATCAGGAAGATCTCCTGGAAAAGGAAATGCAACCCACTCCAGTACCCTTGCCTGGAGAATCTCCCAGACAGAGGAGCCTGGTGGGCCACCATCCACGGGGTTGCAATTGTCGGACACAACTTAGTGACGACACCCGCACCACCAAGGATATATTAACCTATTAGGGGAAACAGCTCAGAGTAGTAGTAACTGAGGGTAACTGAAGCCTGAGGGTCAAGAGGCGATATGGAAGAGTATT